CCTGAGGCTTTTTCCTGGGCATGGTTGGCCAATTGGTGTAAAAGGACAGGACTTTTTTATGTACGCCACCACAGCAGCAAGAATTCTTCTGGCAAAGTATTGGAAGATGCAAGAATTACCTACTCTGGAAGAATGGCAGACAAAGGTGATTGACTTCATGGGACTGGCGGAGATGACCGGCAGAATCCACGACCAGGGGAAAGAGACAGTGGAAGAGGATTGGAAGAAATTTAAAATATATCTTAAAAATTGTTGTAAAGTTGAGGAGTGTTAAGATGTCAAGGGGTAAGAAGCAGAGAATTACAGCTGTAACTAACAAATCAAAGAAAATTTAATGAAAGGGAATCAAATAGATAATTGATTAGAGGAGTTGCTAAAGAATTGTAAAATAAGGATGCAGCGAAAGGGAATGGGAAGTCAGGGGAAAGGGTGCACGAAATAAGATTATGAAATTATACATGTTTAAATGTTTTGTATGTCTTTGTTTTGTGTTTTGTTTGTTTTTTTATTATGTGTTTTAAAATGAATAAAAATTATTTTTTTAAAAAAAAAACACACAAAGAGAGAGGAAAAATAATAAATAATAAATAAAGAACAGACCTCTGGAACGAATTAAGTTCTTAACCTGAGGTACCACTGTATTGGAAAAGGATCAAGGGCTCTTAGTAGACCACAAGTTTGTAGTGAGTCAACAGTGAGATGCAGCAGCAAATAAAAAGCTGATGCATTCTAGGCTGCATCATCACAGAATCATACAGTTGGCAGGAACCCCAAGGGTCTTCCAGTCCAACCCCCCGCAATGCAGGAACGTTGTGTTGCACACATTCTGTCTCCAGAATGGCTTTGTGCTTCTGGGGCCAAACCTTTTGAACCAGAGTTCTGGATCTGCTTCATCCCTGACAAAACTGGAACGGGTGCACAGGAGGGAGACCAAGGTGATCATGGCTCTGGAAACCAAGACTTGGATAAATGGTTTGAGGGAGCCGGGATGTTTATTATGGAGAAAAAGGAGATGCGAGAAGGAGATGTGATAGACATCTTCCAACATCGAAAGGGCCTTGTGCCATGGAAGAGTGAGCAAACTTGCTTTTTTCTGTTCTGGTGGAAGGACACACCAATGAATTCAAGATACAAGTAAGAGAATCTCATGAAACATCAGGCAGAACTTTCTTACAGCAAGAACTGTTTGACTCTGGAACAAACAAGTACAGGTGGGGCTGGTATCTTCTTGAATTGAAGGATTTTAAGGCCAAAGATTTGATGGCCATCTGTCATGAATTTTTTTGTTGAATATCCTTCATTGCAGGGGCTTGGAGAAGATGACTCTCACCATCCAATCCAATGCAACAATCCAATGATTCTTGGGGAATCTGATTCTCCATGCTGTGAGTTCTTTGATGGGAAGTGAGAAAGGACTCCTGACTAAAACTCTTTCCACATTCCAAGCATTTATACGGTCTCTCCATTGTATGAATTATTTGATGGGAAATGAGACTTCCTTTCTGAGTGAATCTTTCCACAATGCAAGCACTGATAGGGTTTCTCCCTTGTATGGATTTTTTGATGGGAAGTGACATAGGCCTTTGAACTGAAGCCCTTCCCACATTCCAAGCACTGATAAGGTTTCTCCCCTGTATGAATTATTTGATGGGTAGTGAGATGGGACCTCTGACTGAAGCACTTTCCACATTCCAAGCACTGATATGGTTTCTCCCTTGTATGAATTCTCTCATGGATAGTGAGATGGGACCTCTGATTGAAGCTCTTCCCACAGTGCAAGCACTGGTAGGGTTTCTCCCTTGTATGAATTCTTTGATGGGAAGTGACATAGGCCTTCTTACTGAAGCTCTTCCCACATTCCAAGCACTGATAAGGTTTCTCTCCTTTATGACTCATTTGATGGGCTGTGAGATGGGCCTCTGACGGAAGCTCTTCCCACATTCCAAGCACTGATGCTTTTTCTTCCCAGTGGGAATTCTTGGATGGGATAAGGAATGAGAGCTCTCTCCACACTCTACATATTGATAGGGGTTCTCCACTGTGTGGATTTTGTCATGCATTTGCTGGTTCTTAATTTGTAATTCATCACCACCTGCAACAAAGAGATATGGATTTTGAACATCTACATGCAGCCGATGGGAGAGATCATCAGGGGGTTTGGGCTGGGTGTCCAGCAGTATGCTACCTCTTTCAAATCAGAACCAGTGAAGGTGGTGAAGGTCCTGTGTGAGTGTCTGGAGGCGGTTGGAGGATGGATGGTGGTTAACTGATTGAGGTTGAATCCTGACAAGACAGAAGTACTGTTCTTGGAGGACAGGGGGCGAGTGGGTATGGAGGACTCCCTGGTCCTGAATGGGGTAACTGTGCCCTTGAAGGACCAGGTGTGCGGCCTGGGAATCATTCTGGACTCACAGCTGTCCATGGAGGTGCAGGTCAGTTCTGTGTCCAGGGCAGCTGTCTACCAGCTCCACCTGGTACGCAGGCTGAGACCCTCCCTGCCCGTTGATAGTCTCACCAAAGCGGTGCATGCTCTAGTTATCTCTCGCTTAGACTACTGCAATGCACTCTATGTGGGGCTACCTTTGAAGGTGACCTGGAAAGACAAATTGCTGATCATACACTGAGCAATGGATATATGATACAACATTGAAATGGCAGCTTGGGAAAGATTGTGGAATGGAGATTTGAAATTTACAGCATGTTATGAGTTAAACAACACTATAGGAAAATGATGTATAGATGGCATTTGACTCCTAGTAACTTAGCTAAAATGTACAAGACCAAATCAAATGCCTGCTGGGAATGTCAAGGGAAGGAAGGTACCTTTTTCACATGTTGTGTTTCAGTTACAGATAGGTAGCCGTGTTGGTCTGCCATAGTCAAAACAAAAAAAATCCTTCCAGTAGCACCTTAAAGACCAACTAAGTTAGTTCTTGTTATGAGCTTTCATGTGTGTATCTGAAGAAGTGTGCATGCACACGAAAGCTCATACCAAGAACTAACTAAGTTGGTCTTTAAGGTGCTACTGGAAGGATTTTTTTTTGCTTTGACATGTTGTGTTTGTGTAAGATAGTAAAAGTCTTTGGGGAAATGATTTATAACGAATTGAAAAAAATGCTGAAAATAATATTTGTTAAAAAACCGGAAGCTTCCCTTTCAGGTATAATGGGGGGAAAGGTACCCAAAGATGAGGGGGAAACCTGTTTATGTATGCTACCACAGCTGCCTGAATGGTATAGGCCCAAGATGGAAAGAAAAAGCAGTACCAACAAAAGACGATTTGCAATTTAAAAAGGCTCCCTTTACCTTTTATAAGAATGAAGCCTCATTTTAAAAGGTTTGGGCAGTTCAGACCAGCCTGTTCTCTGTTTAAGGTAAAGGGACCCCTGACAATTAAGATATCTGTTCAGAAAGGCGTAATTGGAGGAAGTACATTCCCAGACCAAACAGTCCTCCATTCAAGGTGACTTGTGGAGGTGTTGGAAGCCCAGCTGCTGAAGGCAGCGCTATTGAGCTCCCTCACAATAGAGATATATGTATGGAATTGCAAAACAAATCTCATGATGCAACTAGGAGCCTTACTGAGAGAGGCCAGGATACCACGATTCTCCTCTGTAACCTCCTTATGCAGAGCTCTCTGGGCAGGATCCAGCAACGCCCACTCCTCAGCCGTGAAACAAACAGTGATGTCTTCAAAGCACACTAGACCCTAAAAGGAAATAAAAAGGTCCTTATTTGCAATGTATTCCATGTTCAGGCAATGGTCATTCTTGCCGTGGTTACCAGATGAGTTATAAATTCTTTGTTTCCTGACTGTACAGGTTAAGCAAAGCCAGTCCTGGGGTCACAGGTTCTGTCTGTCTTGTGATCAAAGAGATCTTTGCAAAAACCCTTCCCCAGAACTAATCTACTTTTGGACACACCCACCACATGTGTCGGCAGTGCTATTTTTCAGGAAAGGAGGTATCAGAACTTAACAGGAACATCTCCTTTGTTCTCTTATAAAGGTAAAAAAGGCAAATGACCAGTTATAATTGCTATATTTCTGTTCTCGCTTAATCTCGTGGCTAAGAGCCTACATAGCCCTACAGATAGAGCTCCCGTAAAGAGCTAAATAGAGACACATCCATCACAACTTGGGTCCCGTTGTAAAACCGGGGCACAGTCACGCTGCTTGAAGTGTATGTTATTAGAGTCCCTCAAGGTCAGAGCAAACATTTGGCCAATTGTGCATGATGAACTTTGAATTTTGAGGCCTCAAAAATGATTTCTGCGTCAACCCGTGGGCGTTGAGATCCATTCCCCCGCTGCCACAGCAGCACTTCTCCTTGCTGGAGGGAGGGAGTCATGTTCTGTCTGGCCACCCAAGTTCACAGCTGGGCTCCCCTCACTCGTCCGCTGACTTCAGCCCAGGGTTGGAGGGGATCCAATGCAAAACATCGCATAAGTCCGAGTTCTTCGATGCGTTATCCCTCGCATTGTTGTTGTTGTTCCCAAGGGTCCTGACCTGCCTCAGGTCCTTGGTTCCCTGCTGCCCTGCATTCAGAACAGACGCAGTCAGGCCTTTAAGCAGTGGATCAGCGCCACCGTATTAGATGGCTTGCTAACTGCTGAGAAGCCGTTTTTAGTGCCTAGTGATAAATATAAAAAATGTAACTGCAAGGACTGAGAAATAACACTAGTGTCATTCTAAGGTGAGGTGACTGTTCATTGGCTCCCAGTATGTTTCCAAGCACAATTCAAAGTGTTGGTGTTGACCTTTAAAGCCCTAAATGGCCTTGGCCCAGCAGACCTGAAGGAGCGTCTCCACCCCCATCATTCTGCCCAGACGCTGAGGTCCAGCGCCAAGGGCCTTCTGGCGGTTCCCTCATTGCGAGAAGCAAAGCTACAGGGAACCAGGCAGAGGGCCTTCTCGGTGGTGGCACCCGCCCTGTGGAACGCCCTCCCATCAGATGTCAAAGAGATAAACAACTACCTGACATTCAGAAGACATCTTATGGCAGCCCTGTTCAGGGAAGTTTTTAACGTGTGATATTTTACTGTATTTTTGGTTTCTATGGAAGCCGCCCAGAGTGGCTGGGGAAGCCCAGCCAGATAGGTGGGGTACAAATAATAAATTATTATTATTATTATTATTATTATTATTATTATTATTATTATTCCTTATTCTCAGCAGATAAACATTATGGGATGGCATTTTCTGAAGAGGTGCTGTGACAGAAGCAAAGAGGTGCAGAGAAACTTGTTCGGTCTCAGAAACGCCCTGTCTCTCTCCCCCCTCAGCCCCTTTCCCCCCATTGCTCCTTCCCCGCACCTGATCCGGTTCCTCAGCCGCTGCTTCCCCTCCACCAGGATGAAGAGATGGAGGAGGAGGTCTTGCCGGCATCCTTCTTTCACCTGCGAGAGACAAAGGGAAGTGGGGAGACAGGAGTCCATGATGCTTCTCTCAGAGGTGCATTTGGGAGTTTGTCCCCATTTCATATTATGTTAAAACACATCTCCTCTTATTTGGATTCTTGGCCCCATGTGTCTTCCCCAAAACACTGAAAGAACCCACAGATTAGTTTGAGAATTGCCAGAATGTGATACACAGAGGAAAAACTCCTTCCTCCTTACCCAGTGGCCTCTCTCTGGTGTCCAACGAAGTCCTCTCTGCCTCAGAGGAATCTGGTCCCTTTTCTGCCAACAGATGCCTTTCCTGAAAGAGCAACAAGAAATTGTAATAGAGAATGTGGAGATGGGTTTGAGAAGGAATGGCTGGGACAAAAACTTGAGGGGTATCCAATGTCATTCCGAAAAAAGGATGGGATTTCGGGATATCTTCTCCCTCCTTGGAGCCCCTTGGGAGCATCCAGAGGAAAGTCTCTCTCACCTGCTTCTTCTCCGCCTGCTTCCTCTCCTCTGCCTGACTCAGGAAGAAACCTTCGGCCAGGGCCACTGCCTGGGAACTGGTCTCTGCTCCGCATTCCCTCACCCAGCTCTCCATCTCCGCTGGAAGGACAGCCAGGAACTGCTCCAAGATCACCAGGTCCAGCATCTCAGCTTTCGTGTGCCTTTCTGGCTTCAGCCACTGGTGGCAAAAGTGGTAGAGTTGGCTGCAAACCTCTCGGGGTCCTTTGACTTGCAGATAGCAGAACCAGCTGAACTGCCGGCTCTGTGCCTGTGAGCGAAGGGTGTCCTCCTCTCCCAGGATCTTCTGCACAGAGCTTTCCCAGAATCCCACACTGCTCCCCTTTTCCATGGCCTGGCCTCTTCCTGCTCCAGGGCCAGCTGAGTCCTGCTCATCCATGTGTGCTCTCAGGAAGCCTCCAAGAGACAGGAAAGATCCCCTTGGTCCTCTTCCAAGTTCTGTTCGTCCGAATTAGAGGCGCTAGAAAATCCAACAAAGAAAAAAGTAATGCTCCTGCCCTCCTAGAAGGAAAGTGACCATCCAGATGTGCAGGAAAGTGAAGGGATTTCTTTGAAATGAATCAGCCTGGTTGATCCTGCCTGCCAGTGTTTGCAGTCAAGGAATAAAGTCAGAACGGTGAGTGACAAGTGAGTCATTTGTACCAAGTGTAACGTGGAAACCAGGCTATAGTGAGGAGTTCCCACCTCCTCAAGACAAACTACTGAGATGGGGTCCTTTTTCCCTTGTTCTGAGGGCCAGATCCTCATCTGGGAAACCCCCTGAGGGCCAAGTGGGTCAGGCCAAAGGACAGAACTCAAAAGCAGGTAAAGTAGTACCTACCTTCTTTCTGTGATTTTAAGTTGTTTTAAACTCTTTTCAATGTTGTGTTTTAATCCTGAAATATGCCCTGGGAATCCTGAAATATGCCCTGGGATGGTGGCTGTGTCATTAATAATGTGACACAGCAGAACCCCCACATCTGCGTGGGGTACTTCTGGATCCAACAAAGTCCCTTGAGTGGGTGAGGCCAAAGGACAGAATTCAGAAACAGGTAAAGTAGGACCTACCTTCTTTATTTAAAATTTTAAAAGATGATGCTGTTAAGGTGCTACACTCAATATGCCAGCAAGTTTGGAAAATTCAGCAGTGGCCAGAGGATTGGAGAAGATCAGTCTACATCCCAATCCCAAAGAAGGGCAGTGCCAAAGAATGCTCCAACTACCGCACAATTGCACTCATTTCACACGCTAGCAAGGTTATGCTTAAAATTCTACAAGGAAGGCTCAAGCAGTATGTGGATCGAGAACTCCCAGAAGTGCAAGCTGGATTTAGAAGAGGCAGAGGAACCAGAGACCAAATTGCAAACATGCGCTGGATTATGGAGAAAGCTAGAGAGTTCCAGAAAGACATCTACTTCTGCTTCATTGACTATGCAAAAGCCTTTGACTGTGTCGACCACAGCAAACTATGGCAAGTTCTTAAAGACATGGGAGTGCCTGATCACCTCATCTGTCTCCTGAGAAATCTCTATGTGGGACAAGAAGCTACAGTTAGAACTGGATATGGAACAACTGATTGGTTCAAAATTGGGAAAGGAGTACGGCAAGGCTGTATATTGTCTCCCTGCTTATTTAACTTATTGTTGTTGTTTAGTCGTTTAGTCGTTTCCGACTCTTCGTGACCCCATGGACCAGGCACTCCTGTCTTCCACTGTTTCCCGCAGTTTGGTCAGACTCATGTTTGTAGCTTCGAGAACACTGTCCAACCATCGTCCCCTTCTCCTTGTGCCCTCCATCTTTCCCAACATCAGGGTCTTTTCCAGGGAGTCTTTCTCTTCTCATGAGGTGGCCAAAGTATTGGAGCCTCAGCTTCAGGATCTGTCCTTCCAGTGAGCACTCAGGGCTGATTTCCTTAAGAATGGATGGTTTGATCTTCTTGCAGTCCATGGGACTCTCAAGAGTCTCCTCCAGCACCATAATTCAAAAGCATCAATTCTTCGGCGATCAGCCTTCTTTATGGTCCAGCTCTCACTTCCATACATCACTACTGGGAAAACCATGGCTTTAACTATACGGACCTTTGTTGGCAAGGTGATGTCTCTACTTTTTAAGATGCTGTCTAGGTTTGTCATTGCCTTTCTCCCAAGAAGCAGGCGTCTTTTAATTTCGTGACTGCTGTCACCATCTGCAGTGATCATGGAGCCCAAGAAAGTAAAATCTCTCACTGCCTCCATTTCTTCCCCTTCTATTTGCCAGGAGGTGATGGGACCAGTGGCCATGATCTTCGTTTTTTTGATGTTGAGCTTCAGACCATATTTTGCGCTCTCCTCTTTCACCCTCATTAAAAGGTTCTTTAATTCCTCCTCACTTTCTGCCATCAAGGTTGTGTCATCTGCATATCTGAGGTTGTTGATATTTCTTCCGGCAATCTTAATTCCGGCTTGGGATTCATCCAGCCCAGCCTTTCGCATGATGAATTCTGCATATAAGTTAAATAAGCAGGGAGACAATATACAGCCTTGTCGTACTCCTTTCCCAATTTTGAACCAATCAGTTATATCCAGTTCTAACTGTAGCTTCTTGTCCCACCTAGAGATTTCTCAGGAGACAGATGAGAGGCACTCCCATTTCTTTAAGAACTTGCCATAGTTTGCTGTGGTCGACACAGTCAAAGGCTTTTGCATAGTCAATGAAGCAGAAGTAGATGTCTTTCTGGAACTCTCTAGCTTTCTCCATAATCCAGCGCATGTTTGCAATTTGGTCTCTGGTTCCTCTGCCTCTTCTAAATCCAGCTTGCACTTCTGGGAGTTCTCGGTCCACATACTGCTTAAGCCTGCCTTGTAGAATTTTAAGCATAACCTTGCTAGTGTGTGAAATGAGTGCAATTGTGCGGTAGTTGGAGCATTCTTTGGCACTGCCCTTCTTTGGGATTGGGATGTAGACTGATCTTCTCCAATCCTCTGGCCACTGCTGAGTTTTCCAAACTTGTTGGCATATTGAGTGTAGGCACATTAACAGCATCATCTTTTTAAAATTTAAATAGTTCAGCTGGGATATCATCACTTCCACTGGCCTTGTTATTAGCAGTGTTTTCTAAGGCCCATTTGGCTTCACTCTCCAGGATGTCTGGCTCAAGGTCAGCAACCACCAACTGCCTGGGGTGTACTAAACCAAGGTTAGAGATGCCAAAATGGAATGTCTAGTTGCCATTTTGGGGCAAGATGGCTCTTAAGTCTTATTCTTCCCCCCCAAATAAACATCAGTTAAACATCTGACTAGTTCAGATGACCACCTTCAGCTAACTTAAGAGCTTTGAGAACTTTAAATAAGAAAAGCCCTTGATCCAGGGATGGACCACGTATATTTTGGTGTATTCTGACTTCTTTTTCCTAAGTGTGACTACCCCTGCTCAGAAAAGATCATTTTGCTTCCAGAAATTCATTCCAATTGTGCAGATGAATATTAACATGTAGAATTCCGTGAAAACAGTTCAGATCCAAGGATTCCCAGGCATGCCACTCCAGATGGTGGAGATGTCAGGCGCCATCCTGGCGTCCAGGCATCTTCACTTGGTCACAAGTGGTCAAAAGCCAGGTGGAAAATGCTCCCAGCGCCTTGCTAATTTCGAACACCGCCCATCAGCCCAAGGTGACAATGGCCAGTGGCCAAGGATAATGAGAATTGTCCACAAGACATGGAGAACCACATTTTCCCTCCACCTGTGTCCTAAAGGCACTGTCCCCAGAGGTGGTGTGCTCTGTATCGGTTGTTGCTTTAACACCAGAGTGGTGGGCGAAGAAATTCTTTGTGTTAATGCTTTTCGCTACAAGAGCAAACAAACCTCATTACAGTCAGCACCGTTCTTGAAGCTTGATCCCTGGTTCCTTGCTGCTGAGAGATCCACAAGCGTGGAGAAGATAATGAAGGTGTTTTTCAAGCCTGGAGTACCAGCGAGCACTGTAGTCTTCTGAACTGAAATCTTCTTGTTCGTTCTGAAGAACCTCTTGACGATTCACTTAACTTGCACCTGAGGACAAATATGTGTTCTGAAGCATGAGCTGAAGGAGTTTGTACCTTGACATTCATCACCTTCCTAAATATATAACAGCGCCTAATTAGGAATTAATGCCTAATGAGGAATTAGTGTTTCTGGTGGTTGGGATGGGGGGTAGAAATCAAGCAGGAAGTTTTCAGATACAATTAGCATTTACGGTCCCTCAAGGTTGACACAGATACATGTAAGAAGAAAGGAAAGCACCAGTTTTATGGAAATCTAGAAACAAGAGGTACCAATATCCAAATGGGATAGAATCGCTGTAACACTAACGCAGGCGAGCCTTTGAAGAGCTAAGTCACTTGAATGCATGAACCAAACGCAGAGCTGCGAAGAAGCCCCCTTGAGTGTTTTGTAAGCTCCATCTGTTCAATGTACATCTGCTCCAGACCCTTCAAATCGGGCAAGTGACTGAATAGTTTGCTGGTAGGTTTCCATTTTAATCTATTAAAAGGAACGGAAGAGGATGTGCAATTCAGCAAGAAGCGAGCGATATTCTCCTGCCTGCTTTCTCTGATGTCGTCTGAGATTAGGTTGGTATCACCCATGTTTAGGTCTTTCTCTGCTGTGGAGTCCGCTCCGTGGAATCGCCTGCCAAGCAAAAACACTTCAGATGGATAGTTATACCTGTCCCAGCTTACATTTTGTGATGCTTTGATGGCTGTCCTGGAATTGTTCTATTTGTTCTGAGTTTGTTGTCATTATTTTTGATTATGTACTTAGCTTCAGTTTGGGGATTAAAAACACACACACACAGGTGGTTGTCACCAATGGAAGCTAAAGAGCGTGAAAAAACTTAATATGGAGTCTAAATGGCCAAAATATTGTGAAATTATAGAGCAAGACGGTGAAAAAGTTAAATTACAGAGTTATGAGAAATTAAAGTCCAAGGTACGAGACTGGTTGCATTATCTTTCAGATAAATGAGATATTAAACAGGACAGGAAAATAGGCTTCCAGATGGAGAGGTCA